GGTTTGTGACAGTGTTCCTCCTGTATCTCGTCATTCCCACAGACGGCTCGGGGATGCCTTGGAATGAGAGAATATTCTCAGGGAGCTACCCGCTCCACGAGGCGATCGCCACTCACGACCCCACCTTGGTAGACTTCGTCTCTAGCTGCCTATGGTAAGAACCCCCCCTGCTCTTGTCACTCTCCTCCAAGAGACACCCATAGAGTCACGAAGATTTACATAGAGATCCATAGTCACAACAATAACAACAACAACCGCCATTCGCCACTAAGTGGCGGTGATGTCACCACGACGCTTGTGCCAGGCCATGTGCACCTTGAGGCCACGTGAAGTGTCGAACGCCCGCTGGCAGGAAGTCACGGGGCAGACCCAGGTGCCACGGGTCGACTGACTGAGATGACTGAGATGACTGGCTGATGCACCACCTGTACCCCCTACTGTGCCAACTTGCTGTGCTTTAGCCACCCAGCGCTCCGCTCGTTGTTGTGAGCGTCGCTCCTCCGCGCTCCGTTGTTGCTGGAGGGCGACTGCCTCCAACTGCCCAGTAGCGTCCTTCACGAGCCTCCTCCACAGAGGCCGATCTTGACACCGCTGGTACCGGTCTTCAGCAAGTCCACTCAGCTCCACATCCTCCAGTCCTGCATCAGTCCATCTCTAATCCAGCCCATTTCTTGCCCTTTTAGCCCTCTAACTGGACAAACAGAAGCAGCTTGGGCATGCGGTGGTGGGGCATGAGGGCTACATGACCCAGCGAATGCAGCGTTGCCTGCTGGAGGAGCTAATTGATGGGACTGTGTCCAGATCTTTCAAGGATTTGTGAGCCCCTCACACAATCCAGCCTGGTTAAACCAAGGATGGATTGTAGAGAGGCCAGCCTAAATGTTTCAAACCAGCGCAGATGTTCCATGACAGGGGTCCACATTTCACAAGTATAGACAGCCGATTAATATATAATGCTGCCTGACTGATTCAGAGTGAGACCTCTGCTGTCAAACCGGAGCTGATCATAAGCACACTGCCCAGATCTAGAAAACTCTCCACTTTCCACTCTCTACACTCCATTGTATATACACACTTGCACACACTTGCACACTTGTAGCCTACACAGAATATGAGGTCAAGTGCGCACCTATGAAGAACGGCACTGCACACAAGGGAGTTGGTGTGACCATAGCCATGGCCGGCTGCCTTCGTCTCCCCCGTGCTGACGTTCACTACATGCCACACCAGGTTCTCGTATTCATCTGAATCTAAGTAAGTTGGTACATTTGTAAATGCGCAACTATTATAAGCCAGGTGATCACGAGAAGCGCACAGGAAGATGGGGAATCGGTTGTGATGTTTGCTGTTGCCATTCTTAATCGTGAGATTGACTCGAACTCGGCTCGCCAGGTCCGGAACGTGGTGCGCTATCCGCTATGTGAGCGCCAATGCCTCATCAGTTTTTTCTGTCGCAGTTGTTGCCCCTGCTGCTCGCACCCGTCGCCCTCATCATCGTCCTCCCCGTCGTCGTCGTTGCCGCACAGCGACCCGGCGTCCCGTCTGGCGGCCGCCCGCAGCGGACATCCCCATACTTCCAGACCCTCGCCGTGGCCGACTTGCAGTGCCAGCGCCCCGAGCCGGCCTCCCTGAGCTCGCGGGAGGATCTCGACCACTGGTAAAATGGTCATGGCCAGCCCAAGTTCGAGTGCGCGGCCTCCCTTCTTACAGTTGGCCCAACTCCGAATTGGAGCTGGAGCAAACATCCCCAAGTCAGCAGCCTCTCACCACCGGTGTGACAGTTCAGAACTGGTTTCTACTGCATTGCACACAATACCTGCTTGACGACTCGATGTGTGATCACGGCCACGATGTACCACTCCGCTACTCCTTACGCAATCATCTGGCTCGATCACCTCTATCCAATCAGAGCGGTCTACATCAGCCGCTTGTACTGCCATCCACGCGCCCACCACTCGCTCTGCCTGTCGATTACCTTCAACCCAATGGCTTTGAATACACCACACAATCTCATTGACTCTGGGAGAGTAAGCAGGCCTGGGCTTAGTGCTTAGATGGGAGACTCCCTGGGAATACCGGGTGTTGTGGGCTTAGGCCACCAGATGACTAGTCGAAGGCGTGCATCGATGGATTCTTGATTCCATCTATCCGTATCATTGAGGTACATCCTTGTCATATGCATGGCGTTCTACTTGGTACCGTTTCTTCCCACATGCACCACTCTATTCAATTGGCCAAACATTCCAATTTAGCGGGAGCCTCCTGATAATGTCTTAAGACTCAGTAGGGCTCTCCTGGGTAAACAGAAGGCAGCTTTCACATTTTGTTATTATCGGTCACCCTTTAACCCTTGTCTCTATACACCAACCTGCAACATGTTCAGAACTCATCCAGCTGACTGTTCATCAACCCACCCTGGCCACCTGCTTCCCATCAGCTGTTCCCTCACTTGGCCATTCGTCCGAATGGAGGCAAGGGTTGGTCACTGGGGAGACAGAGTGAGCCGGGCCTAGTTCTGGCCACCCACTCCGTGCTGGCCACTTCACCCCCTCATGTGCCGTCCCGGCCTTAGCAGATGTTCGCTCGCAACATTTGCCCCGGCGGTCTCTTGAGGCGATGGGAGGGATCTCTGTCCTCTTGAGTTGGTGACCGAGCAATTGTTTGAGTGACGCGGCTCTCTGCCCACATGTCGCCACCACAGAGCGCGGGTCGCATGGCCCAAGACTCGGGCGAGCTCAGCCTCACGGTCGCGCACGGGGAGCCAGAAGGAAACCCCAATGAGGACGTGGAACGTATCGGCGACGTCCTCTTTGGAACAAATGCCCTCCACCTCCACTCCCATCACTTCTCAGTTTCCTCATTCCGAGTGTGGCAATATCTGACAACCCCTGTGTTTTCACTGTCCCCAATTAGACTGTCAAGAAACTCTCGGCATCCTCTTGAGCGAGTGGAAGCAGCCCATGAGATGTGGTCTTGGTCGTGAAGTCTGTTGCGCTGACGCTACCGACGGCAGTATCGCGCTTTTATTCTGCCCTCGGCTTCTTGTGGTGCTCACAAGGGGCCGGCATTCCACCCCACTCCCTCCCCAGCAACTCAACTACTCTCATTGCGAGGCCACTATTCGATTCCTGATCAGATAATTTGTATGGTCTTGATATGATTCGTATTGTTTCTCAATTATTCTCCGTTTAATGATGAAATGTAATAACTTATTACGTTTTGTGTGCTCTGTTAGCTGCGGTCTCGCGTGGTAGGGGTGGCTAGCAAACCAACCTGCCACACCAGTGTCACATTGACCATCACCACCATGGGCCTAAATGTCAAATATATTGAACGATTGGAAATAATAACTTCTCACGCATGCAACTTGGCGCTTTTATCAGGTGCGTATCGCGTGGCGTGATTAACAATCGCGCAGTTAGGGTCGAAGCTAGTTTTGTTTTGTTTATTGGTCTGGTCGGCCCAAGTGCGTGTGGAGTCCGGGCTCTGCTCGGTTCAGGGTACTGCTGGTGCCACCACGCTTGTGACGCTGGCACTAGTGTCTCTCCGCATTTTGAGCGAGCGCTACGAGGAGATGGCAGTGCGAGCCGAGGCTCTAGTCAACTCCGGCAGGCAGCTGGTACAGAGGTACGAGCAGGAGAAGAGCCGTCTCGCCGACGGGCTGCTCCACCCACGCTTGCACGGATGGCCGGATGACGTCGCGGCCACCGAACGGCCAAACCACCAACCCGACGGACGACCCCCACCTGACCGCCAGCCCATGGGTACCCCCACCGAGTAAATGACCCAACACGCATCATCCTGACACACTGACCAAATAACTTACAGACCGATAACTCGCCACCCCATCCTATGACCCAATAAAATACTTTCGCAACAATATATATGAACCCGACACTCGACTTGCCCACCCTCTGACTCTATAAGACACCGAAGCCAATACAATACACCGACTTGGTGAAACTCTGACCCATCAATCGACCCATTTGACTTCGAGCCTATCCACCGGATCACCAGCTGACCTACTGATCCAATAAACACTCTAACCTGGTAACTTACTGCCAAAATACTGATCCACCAAATGACCCTATAACCTTGCCAGCTAGGCTGATCTAATAATCCAAAAACCCACTGTCCCACCAGGCTATCCCCGCTATGAAGGAGGGACCGGTATTATAAATTAATGTTGTGTTTTTGTTCCGCGTTTAGGCACCACTGCCATTACTTGGCCATAAACGTGTTTAAGCCCAGGAGTGTCTGTGCACTCATCTTTCCCAAATGGAAGCTGCTCGTGGTGGAGGCAACATGTCACGTCTGTCAACGCATAACTAGTTTAGCACCAATGGATTTGACTTAAACCACTCGTGCACAAGACCAGTTGAAAAATTATCCTGACATTTTTATAAATTAATACTCACCGTGAGGAGGGTAGTTCCTTAAACAGCATGCTCGAAGTGGTCGAGTGACACGGACCTATGTTCTCCTGTACGTGCATTACACGTAGTTATGTTCTCCTGTAAACGAGGGCTACTCCTAGGAAAATGTGCACAACGCACGCTGCGCTCCCACGGTTTCATCTTTACAATGAACTGCGCTTTCCATGTCACAGCGATCTGCAGGTTCTGTGCTTGTTTAGCTTGAGGCTGTAGTCATCGCCGCGATGCCGCGAGGGAGTCTGCTGAGTGAGCTCCTGCGCCCCGTTATCAATCGAAGGCTCGCGTTGCCGAGCCACGTGTCGCCAGGCTCGATCGGAACACGACGGTGGCTGGGAGGGCTCGGCGGGTTGTTTAAAGTTCTTGGGAGACATCGCAATGGGGGATCAACGTAGGCTCGGAATGAACTTAGCAAAATTATATCACTTGAGAGAGAAGGCTGCAGATGTGTGCGTCGTTGTCTCGTTACCAGCTTTTGTTGAAAACTTGGGTGTCATGTGGAGCATTTCATAATTCTCGTGACAGACTGCAAAGGCTGAAGTGGAATTCCTCACACATCCGACACGACACAATATACGCACAGACACACGTAAACTTTACCCCCTGTATTTCCAATATTCCTATAACCGTGCTCGATTCAAGACACTTATTATCTCTTTATCGGTGACACATTTAATAGTCATGTTTTTTGCTGGCTGTTTTGTGTGTGTGGGTCTTTGGGGCTGTCTGATGAACAAAAATAAAATTAGTTCCTTGGGTGTTAGCCCCTCCATATACGTAGGCTTTGTTCGGGCATTCCAGTTTCCTGCCACACACGACGACCAATTCAGCTCCTGCCCTCAGGACCCTCTTGGAAATGCAGCTTGAGACCACCAATCACTGCACCGCCACTCCCCAAATGCAGGATACTGCAGCATGCGTCAAAAATAAAATCCATTCCAGTCATTCTCAGCACAACAACGGTTGAAGGTCCCTCCTGTACGTCGCGTTAACAATGGGGGACATTTGATCATATTTCACCACGCTGGTGAGTGCGAGTGCAAAATTATTCCCGGTGTAAGCGATCCGGAGCGTTCCGGCTGAAAGTAAACATTGAGCGTCGCGATGGAGAGAAAGAGCAGTCTAATCACGAGAGAAGAAGGCGCGATGAAGGGCCACTCCTACCCCTTGTAGCAAGCCACCCTCCCTTATCACGCCTCTTGATACTTCTCCACTGTCTATAAATCCTCACAACACGCTCGATTTTTTTCCTTGTTTTTTTTAATCTCGTCGATTCTTTTGAATGGAAGCCCCCAGTTTCAGCGAGGCCGGTGCTCTCCTCCATCCCGTAGGCATTCAGACGTGACTCGCCTCATCTCGTGCAACGTCTGACCTCCATCCCCCTCCTTGCGCTCCTCTCCTACAATGCTCCGTCTCCTCACAAGTTGCCAAGTTCTCCATTCGGTGGCCACACTTCCCCTACAAGGTGACCCTGGCAGCGCGGACCTGGGAAGCTGCGATCCTCCGTGAACGCACCAGCGCTTTCCTTCAGCATCTTCCTCGGGAGGCTTGCTGGGGTCCGGAGCTCCGAGAAGGTGGGAGGGGGGTTCCAGGCGGCGTGGGCCGGGTCTTCACGAACCGGCTACCCTTATGCCGCCCCCTGCTGGCGTGGGGTGGCGACGCCTGTTCATCACCCAAATTCGAAGGCCTCATTCCCCACCGTTCTGGCCTTAGTGACGGAATATGGAGGTGCTTTGGGGTACAAATTAAATGTAACTAAATCGGACTTGATGCCCCAAATAAGTTCTCAAGAAATTAGTTTTCAATTTAGATGATTTAGAAGTGTATAGCTCCAGTGGCTTCCTAATATCGGAAGCGCATCTGAAAGCGTGTGATGTGCTGGGGCCAGAGCACAAATAATCATCCCCATGCAACAGGGCCACCATCATGCAGTCCCCCATGCAACATGGCTACCATTAAGTCCCCCATACAACACTGCCAACATGAAGTCCCCCATGCAACTTGGCCACCTGGATATCACTCATGCATCATGGCCACTATGAAATCTTCAATGCATCATCGCCACTGTGACATCCACCATGCAACATGGCCATCGGGATGTTCCACCATTCACCATGGCCTTCTGTGACATCCCTCATTCCTGTTCTTACCTTGCGGTGATTTGATGCAGATGGAGGCGGTGCCCTCTGAGGACAGCGCCCTCCACGTGGTACAAAATTCGCCCTTATTCCTCGCCTCTCCAGATTGGCTCATCTACACACACACAAAGACAAAGGTCCACCACATAGGCTTTAGCAAGATGTGGGGGATAGTGAAAGCGGCGAGCACTGAGCCAGGATCTCTGAGATCCTGGGCTCCACATTCAGGAGGGTCCTGCTGAGATGTCAGTTCTCAGCGTTCGGATATTTGGCCAATGTCAGATGTCACACTTGGATTAACAATGAGACACGTGTGTATTTAAAGGACACACGCAGGTTAATGGCATCCTTCAAACTGTTAAGAGAAGTAGGGCTGGGCCAGGACATGCCACGGCCACGAGGAACAACGATGGTTGATGGTCTAGAACAATGACGGAGGTGCAGCCAAGTATCGGAACATGTCTGAGAGGACGGCTGCGAGAAAGATGGAGCGACAAAATCGGTGCTTGGTGGATTATTCCATCGCAGGATCGTGAGGGGTAGCAGGGTCTCAAGGAAGGAGGCCTTTATCCAGTAGTGGATAGATAAAAGTACAGTAGATTATTAAAACGTAGAAAGGCAGGTACACAGAGAGGATCTTGGGGAGATACTCTGATAGATGCACACACACTCAGGCAGCCAAGCAGATGCACACTTAGGTGTATGGATAGGTGACAGGTAGCCACACGCGGAATGGAGAGCACACGTCCATTAATACTTCACCACACGAGCCGAAGAGCCACACGTACCTCCATGGTGGCAACTTGCAGAGCAGGGTGCACAGAACTAATAGCGTCTCTCGCGCAGTCCAGGTCTCTGCGTGCGAAGCAGGAGATGAAGCCGAGGATCACATAGAGTCGAGGGGGTGTGATGGCACCCACATCTCAACACGAGTCAAGTCACAATGCGGACTCACACCATGAACCCACATCATCAACACAATCACTCACAACACGAAACACAAAAACAACAACCGACATTCGCCACTAAGTAGCGATGATGTCACCACGGCACCTGTGCCAGGCCAGGTGCACTTTCAGGCCACGCGAAGTGTCGAAGGCTCGCTGACAAGATGTCACGGGACAGACCCAGGTTCCAAAGGTTGGCTGAGATGCTTGGTAGATACACCAGCTGTATGCCCAACTGTGCCAACTTGCCGAATTTTATCCGCCACTCGTTGTGAGCGTCACTCCTCTGCCCTCAGTTGTTGTAGGAGGCAGACTGCCTCCAACTGTCCAGTAGCCTCCTTCACGAGCTTCCTCGTGAAGGATGCTATTTACACCACTGGTACCAGTCTTTCACAAGTCTACTCAACTCAACATCCTCCCATACAGCATCAGTCCATATGGTGGGAATGTGTCCAGATCCTTCAAGGATTTGTGAGCTCCTCACACAATCCAGCTAGGTTAAACCCAGGATGGATCGTTGGAACCACCACAGACACCAACACCACTAACACCATCAACATCACCACCAACAACACCAGTACCACCACCAACAAGAATATCACCATCATCAACACCGTCACCAGCACCACCAACAACACCAACAGCACCACCACCAACACCACCAACAACACCAACAGCACCACCATCAACACCAACAACACCACCATCAACACCACCAACAACACTACCACCAACACCACCACGAACATCAAAGATAAAGATCCCCCTTATAGCTGAAATAAACTGTTGGGGCAAGTGCTGTTAGCCAGCATCACCTATGAAGGCCGGAACAGCACACGAGGGCGTGGGTGGCCAACACCACGCCCGGCCGCCTTTGTCTCCGAGTGGCGATATTTACACACCACACCAGGTAGGCATTTGAGGCTGAGTCGACCTAGGGGAGGCCCAGGACCGGTTTATATAATCGTCACTGGTGTTGACCTTGAGCGGGAATCCAATTCTGGGTCACCGGGTTCATAGCGCAGCGCGTTAACCACTCCACACACACACAGACTCACACACGGATACAAACACACACGGACTCACACACACACAGACTCACACCACACACACAGACTCGCACCACCGCACCACCCACCCACAGCGAGGATCCACTCCTCACCTTCGCCAGAGTTTCTCCCCGCCTCTCTCACGGACCAACTGCCAGGGGGAAGCGCGTGGCTCGAGACGAGGGGGCGGTACCAGGTGACCACGCCCACCGAGACGTGGAGCCCTGAGCCCCCCCCCCCATGCGCACCCCCTCGCCCCGCCCCCTCGCCCCGCCCCCTCTCCCCCCTCGCCCCCCCCCATGCCCACCCCCTGGCCCCGCCCCCTCTCCCCCGCCCCCTCGCCCCGCCCCCTCTCCCCCGCCCCTCCCCCCGCCGAGGCCGGGGCGAGTGGAGGCAGCGCTGTGCATTGTGGGTGGCGAGCGGCTGTTTTGGATTCCCGCTCGCGGCCACCGTCGCTGCTGAAGCGGCGGCTCGCTGGCTGGTCCTCCTCTACATCGACTCAGCCCGAACAAGGTGAGAACCTTGCACCGTGTGGACACATCAGCAGTGGCGGTGGTGGAGAGGGGAGGCAGAGGAGGCGCCTGGCTCACAGCCGTTACGCTCTGGGCGCCTGCTGAGTTCACGGCGCTGCTCCAAGCAGAGCGCGGCCTGCTGCTGCTGATGATGAGGAGAGGCACTGCCAGATTGTGGCTGATGGGATGAGTTACATTTAGTTGTTTTGTATCTGGAGGGACGGAGTTGTTGTCGTGGCAGCAATGGCCTCCACTAGAGGCCGCGATGTGGGGTATTTGGTCTACTCTTCCACGCTGGTCCAGACCCGTTGGAGCGGGGTGGGTGTACCCACAACTTTACCCTCCACACGCGGGGGGCGTCAGCTCACTGCACTTGCAATGCAGAGGTGCAGGTTCGAGTCCATTTCACACTCACCCCGTACTATATGCTGCCATAGACAAACCCAGCGTTAAATTATATACTGTACTAGCAGAAGTACCCGGCTTTGCCCGGGTGAAAAATATATTTCTTAAAAACCTTACATATATATACACAGATACTAAGGTATTGTCAAAGCCCGGTGGGCTGTTTGTACATTTCTCCACCAACAAATATATAAGAGGCTTTCACAAGTCCAAAAAGTTGTAGAAAGTGTGGGGTAAATAGTTGATGTCAAAATGTTTCCGAAAATTGTGGTCTCCCCCCCCCACCCCCCTCAAAAAATATCTTTACCCCTCGTAGGTATATATACTAACAACACCTTACATACAACAGAGGAAGTGGTATCTATTGACTCTGTAGTAGTATCTACTGACTGTACCGTAGTATCTACTGAGCCAGTAGTAGCTACTGACTGTGTAGTAGTATTTAGTGACTGTAATAACTACTGACCATAGTAGTATTTACTGGGCCTACAGTAGTATCTACCGACTATATACTCGTAACGACTAACTGTATAGTATCTGCTGACTCTATAGTTGTATCCACTGACTATAGTAGTAACTACAAAATCTATAGCAGTATCTACTCACTCTTTAATAGTATCTACTGACTCTAGTAGCTACTCACCGTAGCAGTATGTACTGACTGTATAGTAGTATATACTGACTGTAGCAGTATTGACTGACTGTAGTGGTATATACTGACTGTTTTAGTATTTACTATAGCGGTATCTACCAACTCGATAGCAGTATCTACTATCACTACAGCAGTGTATACCGACTGAGGTCGTACCTGCTATCACTACAGCAGTGCATACTGCTGTGTTGGTACCTGCTATGATGAGAGGAGTACATATTGTGGTGGTGGTACCTGGTATGATAACAGCAGTGCATATTGACTGTGCTCATCATTCACCCTCACCATTCACCACTCACAACTCACCCTTACCACTCATCCTCACCACTCACCACTCCCACTCACTATTCACCATTTACCCTCACAACTCACCACTCACCAATCTCCCTCACCAATCTCTCTCACCACTCACCCTCACCACTAACCCTCACCACTAACCCTCACCACTCTCCCTCACCACTCACTCTCACCATTCACCCTCACCATTCAGCCTCACCACTCACCCTCACCACTCACCGTCACAACCACCACTCACCCTCACCACACAACCTCACCCTCACTACTCACCATTCATCCTCACCAATCACCACTGACCAATCACCACTCACCACTCTCCACTAACCCTCACCACTCAACCTCACTACTCACCCTCAAAACTAACCACTCTCTCACCACTCACCCTCACCACTCAGCACTCACCCTCACCACTCACCCTCACCACTCACGCTCACCACTCACCCCTCACCACTCACCCATCACCACTCACAACCGCCACTCACCCTCACCACTCACCACTCACCCTCACCACTCACCCTCACAACAACCGCTCACCACTCACCCTGACCACTCACAACTCATCCTCACCAATCACACCCTCACCAATTACCACTCACCCTCACTGCTCACCCTCACCGCTCACCACTCACCCTCACCACTCAACCTCACCCTCACCCCTCACTAATCACCACTCACAACCGCCACTCACCCTCCCCACTCACCCTCACTACTCACCACTCATCCTCACCAATCACACCCTCACCAATCACCACTGACCCTGACCACTTGCCACTCACCCTCACCACTCACCACTCACCCTCACCATTCACCCTCACCACTCTCCCTCACCACTCACCAGTAATGCTCACCACTCACCATCACTACTCACCACTCACCCTCAACACTCACCCTCACCGCTCACCACTCACCACTCACCCTCACTACTCACCCTCACCACTCATCCTCACCAATCACACCCTCACCAATTACCACTCACCCTCACTGCTCACCCTCACCGCTCACCACTCACCCTCACCACTCAACCTCCCCTCACCACTCAACCTCACCCCTCACTAATCACCACTCACAACCGCCACTCACCCTCCCCACTCACCCTCACTACTCACCACTCATCCTCACCAATCTCACCCTCACCAATCACCACTCACCCTCACCACTTGCCACTCACCCTCACCACTCACCACTCACCCTCACCATTCATCCTCACCACTCTCCCTCACCACTCTCCCTCACCACTCACCAGTCATGCTCACCACTCACCATCACTACTCACCACTCACCCTCAACACTCACCCTCACCGCTCACCACTCACCCTCACTACTCACCTCACCACTCATCCTCACCAATCACACCCTCACCAATTACCACTCACCCTCACTGCTCACCCTCACCGCTCACCACTCACCCTCACCACTCAACCTCACCCCTCACTAATCACCACTCACAACCGCCACTCACCCTCCCCACTCACCCTCACTACTCACCACTCATCCTCACCAATCACACCCTCATCAATCACCACTCACCCTCACCACTTGCCACCCACCCTCACCACTCACCCTCACCATTCACCCTCACCACTCTCCCTCACCACTCACCAGTCATGCTCACCACTCACCATCACTACTCACCACTCACCCTCACCGCTCACCACTCACCCTCACTACTCACCCTCACCACTCACCACTCATCCTCACCAATCACACCCTCACCAATTACCACTTACCCTCACTGCTCACCCTCACCGCTCACCACTCACCCTCACCACTCAACCTCCCCTCACCACTCAACCTCACCCTCACCCCTCACTAATCACCACTCACAACCGCCACTCACCCTCCCCACTCACCCTCACTACTCACCACTCATCCTCACCAATCACACCCTCACCAATCACCACTCACCCTCACCACTTGCCACTCACCCTCACCACTCACCACTCACCCTCACCATTCACCCTCACCACTCTCCCTCACCACTCTCCCTCACCACTCACCAGTCATGCTCACCACTCACCATCACTACTCACCACTCACCCTCAACACTCACCCTCACCGCTCACCACTCACCCTCACCACTCACCCTGACCACTCACCACTCATCCTCACCAATCACACCCTCACCAATCACCACTCACCCTCACTGCTCACCCTCACCACTCACCCTCACAACAACCACTCACCCTCACTACCAAAAACTACACATGTGTTAGTACCTGGGTAGTAAGTGTTATTTTCTATACGCTGACATCTCAAAAGTTACAAATTGGAGAAAATTCCCCTCAAACTTATTTTTTTTTGACACGGACACTGATATTTCCAAATGGAGCTATTTTGCTAGGAAAAACCTGTGTATTTGTGTAATTCTTTCCTTTATATAAAGTTCTGGTCACAAAAGCAACATGTATGGGGAATAATAGCCATATTATATACTTAGGAGGCTTAAGCAATATGTATTTTTCCCCCGGGCAACGCTGGGTATATCGAGTTTATACCACAAAGTCGTCACCTGACAGAGTTGCGTGTCGAGGCCTAGTACCGTGCAGAGCCTCCGGCCTCGCCTAGATTGCCCACCCGGCTGAGGGTGGGTACTGGGGCTGTTACGCCCCCCCCCCCGCGCTACAATAATACTGTCTAATCGCTATAATTTTATTATCTACCGACCCTATAATAGTAATTGCACACATTGGGGTGGAAGGGGAGTGAAGAGGACGTGAAACTTTGATGAATTTACCTCAGAGTCGCGTGTTAATGCGTGCGCATATTTGTAACGGGAATTAAAAATGGCGTCCACCCCGCAGCGAAGTTGTTGCTACCCGTTGCCAGGGGCAACCGCCGTGGTCCGCCCCGGCCGGCAGTATTAAATAAATAAATAATTGTTTGACTAAATAAAGAGCAATCGCACTAAATCGATAATCGGTCCGATTTAAAGTTTAGAGACGAAAAATCGGAAATGCCTAAGTTTACCGCGGGCCGGGGGCGTGCCCACCGGCAAAATTTAATCTCGGCGAACCCCACGGTCCGAGAGCTAAATCCCCCGGAAGGGAGCGTACGCAGACGGACAAACAGACAGACAGACAGACAAAAAATGAATTATATAGGTTAGATTACTATACACCACCCTATACCTTACAATAATACATAGTGTAATATTACACTGTGTATTATTCTATCCACCCTACTGTATATCACACTGCTGTATATTCACTATACAATTACGATACTATATATTGCCTTAAACATTGTATTAAACATTACAATTTTATACTATTTATTATTATACAATCTGCTATACACTATACCATTGACCG